CCCCCCCCCCCACAAATGAACCATCTGGTATGCAGGCTATATATATAATAGCTTTGAAAGTTGATTTACATCAGCAGGATTTTGTATTTCATGGTTCGTTCCAAGCGATATCTGGTGAGAGGGGGGGGGGGAATAAACTAAAAAAATTGGGCCCCTTATATTTCTGGGGTCCACCCCTCAAAATTGTTTTCGGAAAGCAAAAGTTTATCCGGAAAATGTTGGCGATGGGGCGGGGTCGCCATTTTTTGCGAAAATAGAACGTCCCAAAACTTTTTCCAAACATTATTTTGCGATAATATATAAATCATTGTGCATTCTTCTATTAAGCTCATATTATAGAACCTGATCCATGTGGTGCAGATGTCATCGCCTATTACAAGTTTGACCAATCTTTTCGAGACGTTTGCTTTGGCCACAACGCTCAGAAATATTGGGGTACCCCTGTACTGGTCCCATCAACAGGCATATCGAATGGAGCAGTCAAATTTCGGGGTGACGCTTTATCAAAACTCTATGTACCTAGCCTAAATGGTTATGCATGGGGATCGAAGTTCTCTGTTAGCTTTTGGTTCAAAACATCAAGTTGGGATTCTATTATCCGAGGTCTTGTCAACAATGGTCGGGTGGGCAATGGAGTTAGCAGTTCAGTAGGTAGTTGGGAAATATATATTAATACTGATAATTCTATTGGTGCATCAGTTGTGACGTCACACTCGGCAAAAACCTGGCCTACGATAACCAAACACGTTTTTGGTGAATGGCATCATCTGGTTATGACGTACGATGGCAAAACTATCAATTTTTACCACAACAGCCACCTTAAGTTAACCGACTCGGAGTGTTGCCATGGAAATATCGACAGCAAAAATAGCGACGTTGTGATTGGTCATAGTGGAAGATATGTCTATGGCATAAATGATTTTACAGGCTACATTGACGAAATGAAATTGTTCAAAAAAGCTTTAACCGCTCACGAGGTTCGAAAACTTTATCAGCTTAAAGTAGTTTAAACAGTCACAATAATGGACCATTCCCCAATTAACCAAAATTTTGAACTCAACAAGTCTAGACAAAAATTAAATTTCATCACAGCTTAAAAGAGCATCACAAAATTAGTAATATTCCAAAGTTTCGTTGCGAAATGTTGTAAAATGCGGATAATATAGCCTTGCGAAATTTGCAATTTTCAGTCATTTTAGATTACAACTCGGGAAATGGTTACCACTTCTGTGCGTAATACAAAATGACTGAAAATTACAAACTTCGCAAGGCTATACATATTATCCGCATTTTACAACATTTTGCAACGAAACTTTGGAATATTACTAATTTTGTGATCCTCTTTCAAGCTGTGATGAAATTTTTGCTTAGGCTAGTTAAGATCAAAATTTTGGAAAAGTGGTAACCATTTCCCGTTTGTAATCTAAAATGACTGAAAATTGCAAATTTCGCAACGCTATATTATCCGCATTTTACAACATTTCGCAACGAAACTTTGGAATATTACTAATTTTGTGATGCTCTTTCATGCTATGATGGAATTTTGTCTAGACTTGTTGAGATCAAAATTTTGGTTAATTGGAGAATGGTCCATTAAGAACCTTGAAAATCGAACTTAAATGCTATTGGGACTTGATAAAAGTTATGATTAGGTTTAATAATTAGTGAAATGTTATTGGGACTTAAATTTTTAAAATTATAAAATTGATTAAAAACAGTGCATTAATTGAAAACGTAATTAGGACATGGGTGGAATACAAATTGAGTTCAAATGTATAATCATTCCAAAAAATGTGATTAAAAAGTTGTTAGAGCTGAAGTATTTGATTATTGTTGTTGCTGTTGCTGTTGTTGCTGCTGTTGCTGTATTTGTATTCGTATTGAATTAGCACGTAATATGGCATATTTTATGATCCAATTACCACAATTTTACCCCACTGAATAGCTGGAAGCAAGCTACCATAAACCTCCGAATATAAGCCCTGGGCTTACATTCGTTGGTAGGCATTGTTTGAGGGCTTATATACGGGAGGGGGCTTAATGGCTTATATACGGACAACATTTGATGCTAGTAATGATATTTATTGCACCTGTAAACTATACCGTGAACGAAAGGAAATATAAACATACAGTATATAATCTATACATAAAACAAGTTGGTTAACATATTATAATACTGTAATGTAATTATCGTCGTTCGTCTGAGCTGTTGGAATCCCAGTTGCTGCGATAATAAAGGTTTGTCCAATAATATTAAGCCCATGGGCTTACACACGGAGTATAGCTTATGTTCAAGAGGACGCGAGCTTATATTCGGAATGCCCCGAGTCTTAGTGAATATGGCGGGCTTATACACGAGGGGCTTATACTCTTTTATACTTCGGCCTTATACTTCTGGGGGGGTTATGGTATTTTCATTAAGACTGATTCACACTAAACAACTTTTGCCTAAAACTGTCGCATGCAACCTGCTTACAACTTGAGTTGTGCTGTGTAAATCAAGTACATAACTTGCTTACGACAATATTGGCGAGCTGTGTTTGATTTACACAGTACAACTCAAGTTGTAAGCAGGTTAGATGAAACAGTTTTAGACAAAAATTGTGTAGTCTAAATCGGCTTTTATATAAATGTAGTATATAAGCAACTATAGTAGAAGTCGATGAAAAACGAGCCCCATAAACAGTATAAGCACTGCATTTTTAATTGTCGTCGTTGGATACAAACGACATAATATAGATATAGTACAAGCAGTGGCCGCGAAACCAGGGGGCGATGGGGGCATGGGCCCTCCCCTTTTTTTTAAGTTAAAAAAGTGCCCTTTTTCTGGGCTAAAGTGCTCCAATTAAAAAACGAAAAAATTTTCTGGAATGAACGCGCTCTTTTGCTGAAAAGAAAGAGCCCTTTATGCAGTAGTAAAGACTCTGTAAAGGCCATTTCGTTCGCTCGTGAACGACATAAAATCGTTTGATTTTGGTCATATACAAAAGTGCATCTTTTGGCCAATGCCCCATCACTTTCGAAATGCTTCCGCGGCCTTATAAGTACAAGTAAGTATGAATAAGTATATTTAATTGTTAAAGAAAAGTCCAGTGTTGTAATTGCTGCTTTAAATTTATGAAGTCTATATACTATTGTCCTAAGATCGTCATTCCAAACTTAAACGCTTATAAATTATATAATGTTGGGGCACAAATGTTATGGAGTGCAAAACTGAGCTATGAAACTTAAAGAGTTTGATGGAAAATGCCGTTTAATTAAAGGCACAGTTCAGCCTTTTGAACGATGGTTTTTAAGGCGCACTTCAGCCTTTTTAATTGAAAAAACTAACTAGGAAAATCAATTAAGCCACAGTTAATAAAATTCAAGATCACCAAACTTAATGTTTTAAAAATTTAAAACATCAGTTTTTATTGTTAAAAACATTGAGTTTGTTGATATTGAATTATGCTTAATTGATTTTCCTAGTCAGTTTTTTTTTCAATTAAATGCGCCTTAAAAACCATCATTCAAAAGGCTGAACTGTGCCTTTAAGAAGCGCACAACTGCTGTATCGAATAGATGCGCTCATCTAACAGCTGACCCTCTCCTTAAAGTTTAATAAATAGCCAGGGTGTTTATATCAGATCATTACGCATTCTATAAACGTAACAATACGATTGCGTCTAGTGCGCAATATCTACATTTTTGCCTTCCTAAGTATATGTCCGAATAATTACATAAAAATTACTCTAACACCGAATGATTTAGACCTATCAATCGCTTTAACTTCCCTTCTTTCGTGTAAACGAGCATAAATTCATTATGTAATGTCGGGGATTATATTCCTTTGTGTATCTACCGAATAATTACATAAAAATTACTCTAACACCGAATGATTTAGACCTATCAATCGCTTTAACTTCCCTTCTTTTTCGTGTAAACGAGCATAAATTCATTATGTAATGTCGGGGATTATATTCCTTTGTGTATCTACCGAATAATTACATAAAAATTACTCTAACACCGAATGATTTAGACCTATCAATCGCTTTAACTTCCCTTCTTTCGTGTAAACGAGCATAAATTCATTATGTAATGTCGGGGATTATATTATATAAATATGCTACCTACGTCATTTCCTTTCGTATAAAATCGCTTTCAGGTTATTACGAAGACTTTATATAAAACAGACACAAGCCAACTGACAACACACGCATTTTCTCGACATGGCAAAAGTCACAGTAATTTTTATTGTCTTTCTTATGGCGTTGGTCGGACATGTCGACGCACGCTCGTTCAGTCACTGCTACAGTTGGGGAAGTTTTAAAGAGATCACATGCAGGTATCGTTGGATAATTGGCTATATATAATATTGTTATGCGTTGTATCTGGAAATATTGAAATAAGACTTCGTTTACAAGGCACCATGAATAAACCAGGGCAAGACTGAAATTCGTTTCCGTTATAGTGTTTGTTTATATGAAATTGGGACAAAGCTAGACGAAAGCACGATAGAAATCTTGTTTGTTTGCCGTATTTCGAACATGGAATTCTGCCAATTCATAATCAATATCTTGCCTGCAGGGTTGTTTATACAGCTAATTCAAAAAAGGTTGTAAACCTTAAACCTTGAATTCTAAGCGTGCAAAGCATAATGGGACATAATTTAATGAGTTTAGAAATCATATGAGGCCCATTTCTTAGAGACATGATAAATATCTCCTTACGAGAACAATTCATTCACAAATAGCTGCAATATTTAACTACTTTTAAGTTCAAAGATATTTATTTTTACAATCTGGGGGAAATTCATGTTTTTATACATAAATAATAGGCTTCCTAGAAACTTTGACAACCTGGTGTTACGAATAAAACAGGTGCATGACTATGGTTTAACGTGCATGACTATGGTCTAATTGTTTTAAAAAACATGCCTAAGCCACGACAAAGTATTCAAGGTAAATGTTTTTCGTCTTTGTTTTGTATTTTTTTTTACATTTCTAGCTACGAAATTGGCGTCACCAATTTTAACGAAATTTGCGATGCATTTTTCACTAAGTTAGTGCTTGAAATATTTGCTAAAATTGACTGGAAATACTTAGAGATTTAATCGTAGAATGGCGTAGTTATATTTGTTTGCTCTTTGACTAAAATGTTTAGCTCTATTACAATCTCGTTCCCCGAGCATGCCCGTTCGCAGGTTAAGGGTGGGCATAGCTCTGGAGAAATCGAATTGATTCACGTTGAATTTCCAACGTGAGTTCTACGCATGCTCGGCAATGTTGCAAAATATAAATAAAGTATTTAGAATTTCGCGTCGAAAATTTGATACATTTTACACTGAAATCAAATCGAAAACAACTAAAAATTCTGGGGGAAATATGTACGAAAGCTTCGTTCGGTTGGATCACAGCTACTTGAAAAATACAAGGAGAACTTCGGACGTTTCGAGCGAAGGCGCTTCGATCTGTACTGTTAGTGTTTGTATACATCGTACTTGACCTTTGCTGATAAATATAATCTCCTCAATAATAAGTATTATATATTTTTATGCTTTAAAATTTACATGTAACTCTCCTGTCAGA